AAAACCGATCTTTTGACCGAAAATCACCATTCTTGAGGGGGGTCCTTAAATACTTATGAGAAACACCATTTGAAAATACGGCCATATGCCTTTTCAAAAGGCGTTCTACGTCAGAAGTTGCAGTAAAATGTGCATGATGGAAAAAACAGAGCTCTCTATTTGTTTTGAATCAAACACCTTAAAAAAACGTAATAGTCTTTTATACTGTTTAATTACCTCTTTTCGTTTAGCCATTAAATTCTCCATACGATCGGCTGCACGTCTTACAGTTGATTTTTGTCGTTCCGATTCATATTGTCGTTGACAACTGTCTTTTTGAATACTTATCGTTAAAGCAATATCTACTAGTGCTGTCATCACTTTCAATACTGAAATAGATGAATAACAAATTCATTACAGTAGAAAAGTACAAGATGAATTGTCTTACCAGCTAATGTTCCTGTATGTCGAAAAGCTCGTACTGCAGAATCCGATAATGCTGTTAATAGTGTTACCAAATTATCAATCATATATTGATCATAAATAATTGTATAGGAACATTGTTTTATTAACATAGTAACAAATTCACAAAAAGACAAACGAAATTTTTTAAATTGTAAACCAGACATTACTATTGGATATTCAGATGAATCCTAAACACGTGAAACAATAAATGAGATGAGACATACAAATTATTTTTAAAAGACCTACTTCTTCAAAATGTTCGGTCATTGCTCGTAGCATATCGACATGTTCCATTTTTAAATACATTTGTGGTGTTAATCGTCCTTTACAACCACTGCTATCGAGAAAAAATTGCATTAACTCAATCAGTGCTTGATCTCTTTCGCCTTGATATAATTCTATCCATTGATCAACCAATGTTTGAATTTGAACTTTGCCAGCTAATAACATGTGATAATACGATTTTTCTAATGGTAATGTTGAATTGTTGGCTGTTGTAAATGAACTAGTATCGAAAGAAGAGGTAGATGCATCATCACCGCTTGCACCTAAAAAGAAGGTCCTAATCTAGAGTTAAGAGCAGATAATTTAACGAAAAAAGAATACGTACGAATCGATGCACTTGTACTTCTTCCGCCATGAATTATGGATGATGCTGTTGTTCCACGAGCTATACCACGAGATGTTCGACCACGACT